TTTGTCGGTGGTCAAGTTAGTTTTACGGCAGTGTCACAATGTATTATATTACCGCAATTGCAAGCACTCAATGAAGTTATCGTTACATTAAGGCCGTCTGATACACCCGCTGTACGCTGTCGACTACTCCACGAACTCGGCAAGATGACAGACTATCAGAGTTTCGAAGGTCACAAGTACACGGGTGGCTTCTACCAGCGAAGACATGTCTCTACCACCTGTCTTCACGCCTGGCTTTCATCCGCATCTGGAATTGCTCCGTGGCCAGAGGCGAAATATGGTGGAAATCGGGTGCTCACGTGTCTTATTCGGGCGTTATCGTCCAGGAACTTTCCAGTACCTCCCGTCTGGTCACCACCCGTAGAACTTTTGGCGGTGTACTTGAGTGATGCTAAATATGAACTGATCTCCTCTGGAGACTCTTCTGCACGGCTCTCCAAGTTCTTGAGCTCCTCTCCAATGTCCAAACCATGTGTGAAAGACAGAGAATGGCCTTGCTTGAACCTGAACTTGAGAATTTGCAGTGCTTCCATGAGTTCTCCACCGATTTTGTTGCGCCGGTCTGTGACTGTTATCTTTCCGGATGAGAAGACACGTTCACAGGGCACAGCAGAGGCTTGGATAGGCAGAATATTCATTGCAATGGCATAGATGGTTAGAAACCTGGTCTGAGATGCCTAAAATGTGAAGATAAATTAATATTTCGAAAAAAATGGAGAAAAATGGAGAGAAAAATTATGGCACAAGTTTCAGTAAGTGTACACTCACCTTCCAGTATGTGATAGCATCCACAAATCCATCTGTGGGCCCTGCAATGTATGCATACCACTCTTGCTCTACTGAACGCTCAGCCAATGGACTTTTTCCTTTACCCTTGAATAAAATGTCGTAGGCCTTTTGCTGCTGTGTTTGAATCACTGCAGCTGCCGGAGCTGAGGCCGAAGGGGCCATCTTGGATTTATACTTGTGCATCTGTAAAATGAATGTTAATATAGAGAGAAATGAAGATTAAAATATGAGTAAAAGCACACCTCAGCTAAAAATAGATTCTTTGCTGCAGCCGCTTCTGCTGGTGAAGTGTTTTGCTCAAACCACTCCAGCTTACATGCAGGATTGATGACTAATAGACTTAGCTTCAGATTTTAGCAGCTTTAAAGCTGTGCTTACCAGTGGCCAAAGTATATGCATTACAGCTGCGGTTGCGATCACGATAGTCTTCAAGCTTGTCCAGACCTTGCTGAATAATTCCAGCTGCGTTGGATACTTTTGCCTGTTGCTCCTGCCAGCGTAGCTTCATGGCTTCAAATGCAGGTAAAACACTAATGAGTGTTGGCGTAGATTCTGAAGATAAAAGCTGCTGAAACGCATGTGGAACCTATTCATGTTTAATTTATTACTTGGATAAATAAAGAAAACTAAACTTACCTGAAGGATCTCGTGGAATACTTCTAAAGCTTTCCACTCTTCATTGTTCATGCTATACTTGCGAAGTTCTGCAAACTCTGAACCATAGAGAAATTGTTCAATTGCCTATAAATAAATAAGCCTGAAAGTATACAGTATGCCAAAATAAATTGTTACCTCGCGAAGTAGAATAGCCCGATCTATCATGAGATATGTTGATGACCACCGTGTCTCAACGTCTTTGAGAAGCTGCAGAATGGCCATATCCATGTTGACTAAAATCTGCATAAAATGCTGGCAACGCAGTGCAGATGCACAAATCTATATATTGAGGTAAGGCAAATCACCATCTTGTATAGATTAAATTAAACTTACTGCTCTAATGAGAGAATGTAAAGTTGCGATAGGGTCACGTTTGACTGTGTCAAGAAAATTGCGTGGTGAAAACTTTTCTGGCTTGAAATCTTGCGACGTTTCCTTGACATACTCAAGTTCAGTTATAGCACTAAGAACACTTTGGCATGCTAAGTTAACAATATGTGGAAAGCAGCTACAGTTATTTTGAGCAATAAACTGCAATTGATTTATTGAAATATACACACCGAATGCGACATTGAAGCTTGTCAAAAGCAATTCCACGCTTTCGCAAGGTTTGCTCAAGAGCCTCCATGCAGGTGTCATTGTTTGTTGCATTGTCCATTGTAATCCAGCCAATCTATATATTTTTAAAGGATAGTAAGTGGTTTAATCATTTTAAGTTGTTAAAATGGCTGTACCTTGTTTGTGATCTTGATACGGTCCAGGATATAAAGGAATGCAGCCGCAAGATGCTCACCGGTGTATCTGGAGGGGACACGGTGAAAGCCGATAAGATCTGCATGAAGTCGAAGCTGCGGCTGAAGTCCGTTACCATAATCTTCAAGAATAAGCTGCAGCCAGTGTGCAGTAACCGCCATGTACGGCGATAAGAATAGGTCAGTCCACATATCCATTGTGAAGGATATGCTGCCAACTGCATTCTATAATTAGGAATTAGAGCAGAATTGTTTTGTAATTTTTTCGCCACTTACCTTCATATCCTGGCTAAGCTCCTTGAGATACTCTTCGAAAACCTCACCAACTCGTATTCGGATAGTGGTTCGCCCAGGAATATCTTTCTCATGCAGCTCAGAGCGAAGCAAAAGAAAGATATTGCAAAGCTGTGGATTTTCAATGACGCATAAAGGCTGCAAATATTTATTCAGATTTAAAGCACAATAAAATGTAGATTTCAAGCACACCTGATCGTCAGCAACAATCCACTCAGTAATGTAATCCACAAATAGCTCCTTGGTGAACTGTGGCTGGCTGTTATCTGCTTGTGCAACATCTGGTTGTCTACGTTGACGTTGCCTCCAGGCTTCGACTTGTGCCATAGCACACTTCACTGTGATTTTGACTTGTGCCTTATCACACGCCTCCACCCACTTGTCAAGATGAGCATCTCGGAAGTGCTTTTGGGGGTTGTCTATGCCTGCAGTAGTCCAGGTGGACACATGGTAATGAGGATTTTGTTCATGCATAAACCTGGCGAGTTTTTTTTTAGAAATAAGTGCAAAGAAATAGCTGAAAGAAATTCATACAAGCAAAACTTGCATTTCTTGCGTCCATTCTCATCTATCTCAAAGAAGGGCCAGACATCCTTAGCTTGCTTGCCTTGTCTATTGCCTGCAGGCCCATGAGGCAATTTCTGACGCTGACCAGCAACAGGTGAATTGGGAGGACCTGCTGGCTTGCAAGTTGGGGTGGCAGGAGCAGGCAGGAGATCATGTGAAGAGCCCGCAGCTGGCGTTGGACTAGTAGGCGAGTCTTCAGAGTTGTCTGCAATATCAATGTTGATGTATTCACGACTATCAGCAACTGGAACAGATCTACAAAGATCCAAACATTAGAGCATAGCAATTTGCAGTATTGGTCACCACGCACTTGTCTATTGAGCTCTCCCCACTTGGATCGTGCTGGTGATTGGCACGGCCTCTCCGGGGCGACGCGAATGCCATGAGCACCTCTCCTTCAGCAACATTCTGAACCCCTGGACCTTTCCTACCACCTCTCTTCTTTGCTGGGGAACCTTGGACAGCACCCTCAGATGAGAATTCACCTACAGAATTCAAGATGTTATCAGCAGACAACATCAAACTGCACAAAAGCTCAAAAAAAGCGCACCAGACAGACAGCCTAAACTGGGTCATAACAGCTCCATTGTCAAACTCAACATGCTTAGAGGCCACCTTTTGCCTCTTAGGTGTCTTCTGAGGGGTCTCAGCAGCTCTCTTCTTTCCATGGTTGCGAGGAGGCATAGTGGCAAGCAAGGTGACGTGGCGTTTGCCTTTTTGGGACAACTGGACCTGACTGCAAGCCACCGCCGAGTCGCGCCAAGCTGCAGCTAAGCCGCGTAACAGCCAAGAGCCAATCAGCGACTTGGCTTGGCTGCCACATGGCTTGACTGCAACAACTAGCGGCTAAGCAGTCAAGCCGTGGCAACACTAGCTACTGGCATGAGCGCCCTCCCTCAGGGTGCAACCTCGGAGTGTATAATTGTACTACCATGCTCTAGACAAATACACAGCCAAGACATTAAACTCCCTTTGTATGAATTCAGACCTTTCTTTGTCTGGGATTTTTGTGACGCGAGCTATAGGCGATGAAGACCAGCTTACTGTCTGCAAGATCCAGTCGTCACACACCATCCACATGGTCAAAGGCGTGTCTCGCTCACCAGGCCAGACCTCCCTGGCCGCACCACAACCGCTTCCAACGATGCAGACCGGCTAGAGCCCGAACGGCCTGCTCACACAGCTCAACGGCCACCGCGCATTTTGGCGCCATGGCAGGCTTCAGCCTGTTCCCACAGATGGGCCTCAACCTGAACAACCCCAACATGGTGCGTGTGCTATGTCATTGCCGTTATTAGACTCTACCTTCAATCAGGCAATGCAGATGCAGGGAATGCTCCAGAACCCTGAGTTCTTGAACCAGATGTCCACCATCATGTCCGACCCGGCTGTCCTCGAGCAGGTCATCGCGGCGAACCCGCAGCTCGCAGCGATGGCTCCGCCCATGTGCGAGATGTTCCAGAGTGAGGGCTTCAGGCAATTGATGTGAGTACACAGCCGCTCCTTGTGGGCGGCCTCGGTCGCGCTCGTCATTGAGCGCCACACGCAGGTCAAATCCCGAGTTGCTGCGCATAATGCGGCAGATGTCGAGCTCGATGGGCGGTGGCGGCGCAGGCGGCTTCCCCATGACCAGCGTTCCAGGCGGCGGTAGTAACACCGGTGCCAGCACACAAGGTGGCGCCGGCGGTGCGCCCACCGTACACAGGCATGTTCGATCCAGCCGCAATGCAGCAGATGCTGGGGCAGCATGGACGCTTTCGGCGGTGGTGCACCGCCCACATCCCTAGCATACACGCAGTCGTCTGAGGAGCGGCTCCAGGTGCAGCCGTAAGTGCCTCGTGCGCGAAACAACAACCTGTCGTGGGCACCACGAGCGCTGACTTTATCCGTCCGTCTCACACAGCAACTAGGACATGGGCTTCACGAATGCGCAGCAGAACATCCGTGCGCTGCTTGCAACGGGCGGGAATGTTCATTCTGCCATTGAATGTATCCTCGGTGGCAGGGATCTGTAGTGCGTTATGTGATATCAGAACAAGAGGGATGCAATCGTAAAATGCTGATTGACTAGATATAGAAATAAGATGTCATTTGCCATGTTCTTTGACCGGGATGTTCGCTGCCCAACAACAGCATTAATGCGCATCTGCGCACTTCTGCATGTCAAACAGCCCTCCGCTTACGAAACCTCGTCAGGTTAATGTTAGTCCCGGCAGTCATCTATCAGATCTCTCATGAAGAGCGGGCGAAACGACACGAGAGAAATTTGGAACTTTTTTATTACAAAAAATATGC